AATCAGCAGAACTGGAATTTCAAAGAAGTCACAAGGACTAGCCAGCTAATTCTATACTTCCAGCACCATTTAACTCAAGTTAGAGATTTCTGCATGGAAACCAAAGGACAGTAAGAGTGCAGTGACAGCCAGTGTTAAAAGGCAAGTGTTCACAACAGTCCATGTAAAAGGAAAGCAGTTCTTACCTATCAGACCTTTCTCCAGAGTAAAGGTTTTGTTGGTGAACATGCATTCAAACGCCACAATATGGAAAACTTTGTTCACTGTGTTGTGAGTCCCAACAATTCGAATATACCTATAGAGGGGGAAAAAAAAAAAGGTAAGTAGCACAAGTTAAGCATATCAAACTTATATGCGCTAAAATATGAATGATTCAGTTGGGCTATATTGTGCAGACCGGTAAGAACAGAGTAACTGTTAAAAAAAATAAAATAAGAAAAGGAGTAAAAAGAGTATAAGCTGCACAGCAGGACGCTGGCTCCAGTACAATTTAAGAAAAAAATATATATTTAAAGAGCTGTGAAATCTATCAAAAATCTTTCTGAACTAATTTTCCAAGAAAAGCAAAATGGGTTCTGTTTCAGAAATGTTTTTTTAGTGCAAATGTTTGCTCATGGACACTTTAAATAATAACAACAATAATAACAACAAAAATCCCTTTACCAATTAATTTCATCGCAATGGGAGGTTTCATACAGCCAGGAAAAACCCAATAAATCAGTGAGTCTTTGCTGCAGAAGCCAAAACTTAATTCCATTTTAATATGACTAGCACTGTCTAATTCTAGCACTGGATGTACAGGCTATCGCTGTCTTTTTGGTGTATCTTTTATTAATAACAAAGAACCCCCATCCCATATCAGTCAAATGGTATGAAGCAAAGGTAGCTCTGGGTTTCATCCCTGGTTGTACAACTCATACTTCTAGACTCTAATTGAAAAATCAAATAGAGCTGCTCTTGAACACTGTGACCTATTCACCTTCTGTATTACCCTGGAGGCTTCACCTTCTATAAACAGCCATTAACCTTGATTCAGTCCAATTCCCACATTTTCTGAAGAGATCCAACAGTTCTTACTATAAATTTCAAAAAATCCTAAATGGAATGTTGTACACCATCTCAGTAAATGTTGAACAAGTAACGCAAAAACCTACCTAAATCAAATAGCAGTACCCCACAAAATGGGTTACCCACACTGCAGAAACCTTTGTATTAAATGAACTCATTTCAATTAAGAAGTATCAGGATGTATGAACCTTGGGCAATAGCCTCAGCCTGGGGTATAAAACAGCCTTTCACTTATGAAGTATAATTACAGTTCCAACATAATGGCTGTTCACTTACAGCATCATTTTGGCTTGTGCTCTTCATCATAAGAAGATACACAGGTTTAAGTCCTGAGATTTTTTTTTTTAAACAATAAAACCCCCTCACAGCTATTTACTGTACTAACATTCAACCTCCTCCTGCACTTCAAGACCTGAGTGCCTTATGAAAGAGCTATTATAAGCAAGCCTCAGTGGCTGTTTCTACTGATATTAGTTTGTCTTCACCATACAGAGAAAAAATCTTCTAGAAAAATAATTTTTAAAATCCACCTATTACCTGCAAATGACTGCAAGAGACAACTAAGTTACTCGAATATCACGACATTGCTAAAACTGCCAGGTTTTGACCTCTGCTCCTTTTAGCCTGTATAGTTAATTTCATTAAAAAAACCCAAACCTATTATATCTTTGGATTAAAATTACAAAACTGATATACAATATGCTCAAAATTTCACTTTCAAAATATTTTCATTATCATGACTGGAAAAAAAAAAGAATTAGATGCTATTTCCCAATTAATATTAACTCGCAGATCAATTCATTATCACAGCAGCAAGTTTCCTGCAAGTCATTCTATGCAGAAAAAGTTGCAAACCTAGAGAAAATATTTTTATTATTTTCTTTATAGAAGGTGAACCCGTATTTTAAGAGGGAAGCAGAACTTAGCCCTCCCTATGTAGCTGTGAGAAGTGCCTGCAAAGGGCATTGCGGGAATCCTGGCTGACAGTCAGGGA